CCCACAAGTCCAGCACACCATATTCCTCCTAGGGCTCCGGTGTTTCGGACTACTAGGACTTGTTCTTCGGGGGCTACTTGGGGGCGTCTTCTTAGCGCTTCGTGGGACGGGTCTTTCTTCTTCGTCGTGAGGTCTGTCCAACCGGCGCTGGTAATTCCTCGGGACGTACTTAGCAGACGGCCTATGAGTCAGGATATACTCTTCAGCCATGGTGGCTGCTGCACTCAAGGTCTCCACCTGCTGTTCCTCTAAGTACGTCTTGAGGTCTCCAGACAAACAATCCTTGAAGTCCTCGAGCAGAATCAGCTGTTCGAGGTCTTCCCTGGTCTCCACCTTCCGAGAGGCACACCATTCTTGAAAAAGTCGCTCCTTGATTGTAGCGAATTCGGTGAAAGTGTGCTCTGAGGTCTTCTTCAAGTTTCTGAACTTTTGCCTATACGCCTCAGGTACCAATTGGTACGCCATGAGCACAACCTTCTTCACCTTGTCATAATCGCTGGAGTCGTCAAGGGATAACGTAGAGTAGGCGATTTGGGCCTTCCCAGTCAGGACTGACTGTATCATGATGGCCCAATTCTCCCTTGGCCACTCCAAAGAGGCAGCGACTTTCTCGAAGGCTGCAAAGAATTTTGACACTTCCTTCTCATGGAATTTGGGGACCATTTTGATGTTGCGTACCGGATCGAAGCTACTGGTGTCCGTTGTTTGCCTCCGACCACCGCCTAATCGCAAAACTTCTAGTTCATGTTGTCTCTCTCTTTCCTCTTTGTCCTGTCGTTCTTGCCTGTCTCGTTCTTCTCTCTCTCTTTCTCGTTCTTCCCTCTCTCGTCTCTCTTCTCTTTCTCGCTCTTCTCTTTCTCGTTTCTCTTCTCTTTCTCGCTCTTCTCTCTCTCGTTTCTCTTCTCTTTCTCGCTCTGCTTTCCTTTCTTCTAATTCTAAACGTCTCATCTCTAATTCTTTATCTTGTCTCTCTCGTTTCTCTTCTCTTTCTAATTCTAAACGCCTCATCGCCAATTCTTTTCTTTCATCTCCATTTCTTTATCTTTTAATTCTCGTTCCATTTCTAACTTCTTCCATTCAATTTCCCGATTAATTTCCAGGGCACGCATCTTGACTGTTAGGAAGCTGATATTAAGCTCACCTGCATCACTGTCAACGTCACTGCCCTTATCTTCCTTTTCCGTGGAAGCAATGTCTGCACTTTCCTTTGTACTAGGAGTCTCGCCATCCTGTTTCTCTTCTGCCTTCAGGTGCCGGTGAACCTTGGACAAGATCTCCACACGGGAATCACTGGCACGGATCTTGATCTCCAGGTAGGCGCTCACTAGTACAAGTTCCGGTTTGCTCAGATACTTTAATCTGGCAAGGCAGTCTACTCTGTTCAGAAAAGCCTGAACATCGTCCAGATCATCGATGGTAGCTTTGTCTGCCATTGTCACAGATGGAACACTTAGCACCTAACACACTGCTTACACGTTAGCACTTAACACACCGAGCACTGTTCTACGTCAATATGGCACTTTATCGCACCAAACACTGCACTTGCCAATATTGCACGTAATTACTTCGGGCACCGCACTACCCAATATTGCACTGAGTCCAAGCGAACACTTCGCTCTACAATATTGCACCGAGTCCAAGCGAACACTTCGCTCTACAATATTACACTAAATCACTGAGCACCGCACTAGTCAATATTGCACTTAATCGCTTAATCACAGCGAGCACCGCACTGCACAATATCGCGCTTAGTCACTCTGAGCACCGCACAGGACGTATAACGTCACAATCGTCACACAGGGGGAATTATATACAGGGATTACGCCACTTCACCACCCCTGTCAAACATACTTAACAAGGGGACGGATCCCGCTGGGGATGCCAATTATGTTACGGCCCTCTCGGGACGCAACAGGGTTCTCACTCTGATGTTGTTAGAGGAAGATATATGTATCCGTTCCCAAGCCAGTAGTGGCTATCAAGGGATGCGATCCGTGACGCAAGTAACTTAAAGGGAGTAGGGAAAGAAAGGTAAGAACTTAATATAATATAATGTTCACCATCACCGTTAAATATATAGAATAAAAGAGTACACAAGGGGGAGGGGTATTAACACTTTACAAGGGGATCGTGCACAATCTAGTCTTCTGCTGAAGACTCTTGATTAAGAAGCTAGGTGCTGAGTCCGCGGTGCTTTCTTCGTGGCCTCAAGACGTGTCCTCTGAGAACGCCGAGCCTACCCTGGCCACAGGTCAGCCACAACACAGGTCCACTGGGGGCACCGTCGTGGAGGCCGTCAACCACACGTCCAGCAGGTCTGCTGGCAGGTACTGAGCCACCAAGGCTGGTACGGCCACTCCACGAACGATAAAAAGGGTACGCCCTAGACAGGAGTCTCGTGTGATATCACCAATCAACCTCCTGTCCTCAATACCCCAGTGGATTATCGTCTCCAACCGTCGGTCCCGGGTAAATCCTTTCACTGCCACTCCATTGGCAGGCTTAACACACCACAGTGTTCTTCCGGGGGGGACGACGTCACAACAGCTGCAGCAAACTTCACAGTATGGAGACTGGCTGCCTCGGGTAGACTGACTCCACCTTCTACACAGTGGTCCCAGGTCGGCTCTGTAAACAGACACGTCATCAATAACTGGGACACTAATACACCACACTCACAGGCTCAGATACAAACGCCCGACATATCCACTCCATAGATGGCGCTGTCGTCGGAGCACCACCTCACCAGAGGTCAGGAGCGGCGGTGTTGAGCGCTGAACCAGACTGGAAACTGGTCCTCGAGGCCAGTACACGCTGTCCTCACTAGGTGTCGTCGTCCGTTTGGCGGGGGTTTCGGGAGCTGACCCACAGATGGCGTGGTTGTCACTGCTCCAGGCTCGGACGCTGGATCCGGGTTCGTAACAGCGGGTCGTAGGGAGGGGCGGGCTGCGGGTCGTAGGGAGGGGCGGGCTGCGTGTCGTAGGGAGGGGCGGGCTGCGGGTCGTAGGGAGGGGCGGGCTGCGGGTCGTAGGGAGGGGCGGGCTGCGTGTCGTAGGGAGGGGCGGGCTGCGGGTCGTAGGGAGGGGCGGGCTGCGTGTCGTAGGAAGGGCCGGGCTGCGTGTCGTAGGGAGGGCCGGGCTGCGGGTCGTAGGGAGGGGCGGGCTGCGGGTCGTAGGGAGGGGCGGGGCCGGGCTGCGGGTCGTAGGGGGGCGGGGCCGGGCTGCGGGTCGTAGGGAGGGGCGGGCTGCGGGTCGTAGGGAGGGCCGGGCTGCGGGTCGTAGGGAGGGGCGGGCTGCGGTTCGTAGGGAGGGCCGGGCTGCGGTTCGTAGGGAGGGCCGGGCTGCGGGTCGTAGGGAGGGGCGGGCTGCGGGTCGTAGGGGGGCGGGGGCCGGGCTGCGGGTCGTAGGGAGGGGCGGGCTGCGTGTCGTAGGGAGGGGCGGGCTGCGGGTCGTAGGGAGGGGCGGGCTGCGGGTCGTAGGGAGGGGCGGGCTGCGGGTCGTAGGGAGGGGCGGGCTGCGGGTCGCAGGGGGGGGGGCGGAGCCGGGCTGCGGGTCGTAGGGGGCTGGGGGCCGGGCTGCGGGTCGTAGGGGGCTGGGGGCCGGGCTGCGGGTCGTAGGGGGCTGGGGGCCGGGCTGCGGGTCGTAGGGGGCTGGGGGCCGGGCTGCGGGTCGTAGGGGGCTGGGGGCCGGGCTTCGGGTCTGACTGCAAGACAGGCGGGCTGTGACTCCGTTGATGTGGGGTTGCCAATCCAAATTACGAACCAGATCTGGCTATGAACCAAACCTCGCTATGAACCAGACCTGGCTATGAACCAAACCTCGCTATGAACCAGACCTGGCTATGAACCAGACCTAGCTATGAACCAAACCTCGCTATGAACCAGACCTGGCTATGAACCAGACCTGGCTATGAACCAAACCTGGTTATGAACCAATTATGGCTATGAACCAGACCTGGCTATGCACCAGACCTGGCTATGAACCAATTATGGCTATGAACCAGACCTGGCTACGCACCAGACCTGGCTATGAACCAGACCTGGCTATGAACCAGACCTGAACCAGACCTGGCTATGAACCAGACCTGGCTATGAACCAGACCTGGCTATGAACCAGACCTGGCTACCAGACCTGGCTATGAACCAAACCTGGCTATGAACCAGACCTGGCTATGAACCAGACCTGGCTATGAACCAATTATGGCTATGAACCAGACCTGGCTACCAGCCTGGCTGTGAACCAGACCTGGCTATGAACCAGACCTGGCTATGAACCAACCTGGCTTGATGGCTATGAACCAGACCTGGCTGTGAACCAGACCTGGCTACGAACCAGACCTGGCTACGAACCAGACCTGGCTATGAACCAGACCTGGCTACGAACCAGACCTGGTTATGAACCAGACCTGGCTACGAACCAGACCTGGCTATGAACCAGACCTGGCTATGAACCAGACCTGGCTATGAACCAGACCTGGCTATGAACCAGACCTGGTTCTGAAACAACCCACCTGCTTCATATTAAATAATCTATGCATGAATTCAATATGAATTGTATCCAGGATTGAAAGTATCTAGTGAAAAAAAAATATATATATGGCCATTAAATAAATAGTTTCCACATTTCACATTCATTGACAAATAGCTAAATTTGATTTATTCCCAGTTATTGTTCAAAATACATCAAAATACTGCAGTATGTTGCATAATTCTGCTCGTGCGATCTATTTTCGATAATGCAATATTCCAAATATTGCAAATCTTTTATAGCATTAATGATAATATATATTTTATCGACGCAGCAAGTGACGAACTCATAAAATATTTACAATAGCCACTAACCCAAACAATTTTGATATATAAAATGCACCAAATTACCACCTAACATAAAGCCGCCCACTATGGAAAGACAAGATGATGAATGAAACACCAGACCACACACTGTACAACTTACCAGAAGGAATAGTTTCCTTTCTCTCAATGTTCGCCGATATCCCAACAGGTCGGGGGACAAACCAGGAGGATATGGATGAATTACAATATTGTCCCTCAAGTGGTTACTAGAGTTCAATTTAGGCAAATGCAAAGTAATGAGGCGGCTGGGTACGGAAAGCAGAAGGTCGGACACAGGGTACTGAATGTCCGGCGGTACCAGACATGGTACCAGGATATCATCTTAGAGAGAATATTACACCGAACCAATCACCGGGAGCCCACATTAATAGTGACAGCTAAATGAAGAGATGCATCGGGTGAAAGGAAACGGCCCAAACGTCTCTATTTTGCCACGGGAATCGAACCTGTGACCTGTCTGTTGTGATCCGACTGTGACTCACAATTGAGACTCCCGAGTTAGATCCTAGGCAACTAGTGTAGTTCGCAGCCTAGGGAAGGTCAGTTGACCAAAGGTGACATCGATAAGCCTACATACAGGCTTCCTGTCCCCGACGACGGAAGTTATACCCCATTGTTCCCCATGTGTTGGAAAAGAGGCAGTTAAGTGCCTTCACGTCACACTGCACACTTCCCCACGTTATCTTTCCTGCCCTCTGGTCTTAGGGGGGTGAAGACGCCTCCATGTCTGGCGATGTCCTGCACCAGACCACACCAAGGACCTAAGGAATGGGGAAAACCCCTTACGGAGGACCTATGGATCAGGGCAAGTTACCAGGGAAGGACCTATGAACTAAAACAAGTTACCAGGGAAGGACTTATAGATCCCAGGGAAGGATCTAACAGCTGAAAATATTCAGAACGACCTAAGGCTACTGGGTGGTACTAGTACTTCTTTCCTTCAAGGCCTTCTCAAGTACTGTTAAAAAAAAAGCACATTTCTCCCACGAATTTTTCACCAACTCCAATACAATCTTAATAGAATCCCAGTAAGATTCCCTATCACCCGCCGAGCCTGGCACCCGAACAACTCTCAAAACCCACAGGTAAATCCTCACCGAAATATCACACCGAGTGAAAAAAAATTCAATCACGCAAAGCTTTAAAATTCATCTAAAATTCAAAAGCTTTTCTAGAAGGCGGAGGATAAAGCTTAATTTATTCACCACCTCAAACAACTGTTGGCAACTGCCTCAAGGCACATTATAGGCGATTCAATTCCGAGAATGACATTTCTATCGATATCAAAATTTATACGACTCCAGAAGTTGCTCCTCACAGCTGACTGAGGTCTGATTATAATGTTGGTACGAGTGTGTGTGTGTGTGTGTGTGTGTGTGTGTGTGTGTGTGTGTGTGTGTGTAGTCACCTATTTGTGCCTGCACGATCGAGTTCTAGCTCTTGGACCCCGCTTTTCTAGTTGCCGGTTGTCTAATGCAATAACGCCTGACCTATTTCACTATCATACCTGCTTTTAAAGTTGTGATTCAAGTTTGCCTCTACAACCCGCTCCTTTGGGGTCGTTCCTTTACTCAGTAACCTCACGGTAAAAGAAGACTTCCTAACATCTCTAAAACACATCTGAGTTACAAGCTTCCATCCGTGCCCCCCTATCTAGTGGAATTCATTGTAAACATTTCATCTTTTTCCAGTCTGTCATTCCCTCTAAATATTTTGACGTCTCTATGTCCCGACTCTCTCTCCTCCTCTCTGGTGTCGACAGGTTTAGTTCCTTCAGTGTCCATACCTCATCCCTCGCAGTTCTGAGATAAGTCTTGTTGCAAACTTCTTCAACGGCACTCTTGGACCCCGCCTTTCTAACCAATCTATTTTTTTCTGTCCACTACATATATTTCTCTAACACACGCGCACACACACATGGCAGAAACAAATGGGCAAAAGTTTCTTTCACCCTGAATCCCCCTGTTACCTAGCAGTAAATAGGTACCTGGGAGTTAGTCAGCTGTCACGGGCTGCTTCCTTGGGTGTGTGTGTGTGTGTGGTGTGGAGAAAAAAAAAGTAGTTAGTAGACAGTTGATTGACAGTTGAGAGGCGGGCCGAAAGAGCAAAGCTCAACCCCCGCAAACACAACTAGATGAATAGATCTCAAGGAAGCAGCCCGTAGCAGCTAACTCCCAGGTACCTATTTACTGGTAGGTGAACAGGGGCATTAGTGTGAAAGAAAATCTGCCCATTTGTTTTTACCTCAGCCGGGAATCGAACCCGAGCCCTAGGACTACGACCCCCGAGCGCTATCCACGTACACCACTATTCCCCTGCCGCTATCTACGATGTGTGTGTGTTTACTATTTATTTCCGCAGAATCGAGCTATTAGCTCTTGGACCCCGCCTTTCTAACCAATCAATTTGTCTTCTGTCTGCTGTGTGTGTGTGTGTTTTCAACTAGTTGTGCTTGCGGGGGTTGAGCTCTAGCTCTTTCGCCCCGCCTCTCAACTGTCAATCAATTAAATTAGTTTTTTTTTTCTCTCTCTCTCTCTCTCTCTCTCTCTCTCTCTCTCTCTCTCTCTCTCTCTCTCTCTCTCTCTCTCTCTCTCTCTCTCTCTCTCACACACACACATCCAGAAAGTAGCCCGTAACAGCTGTCTAACTCTAACTCCCAGGTTCCTATTTACTGCAAGGTAAACAGGAGCATCAGGGTGAAGGAAACTGCCCATTTGTTTCCGCCATCGCCGGAGATCGATCCCCGGTCCCTAAGATTACGAATCCCGAACGCTGTCCACTTAGCCACCAGGCCCCTGTTGTTATATTTGTGTGTGTACTCACCTAATTGTACTCGTCTAGTTGTGCTTGCGGTTGAGCTTTTGACTCTTTGGTCCCGCCTCTCAACTGTCAATCAACTGGTGTACAGATTCCTGAGCCTATTGGGCTCTATCATATCTACATTTGAAACTGTGTATGGAGTCAGCCTCCACCACATCACTGCCTAATGCATTCCATTTACTAACTACTCTGACACTGAAAATGTTTCTGTGGCTCATTTGAGTACTCGGCTTCCACCTGTATCCCCTTGTGCGTGTTCCACCCGTGTTAAATAATTCGTGCGTGTGCGTGTGCGTGTGTGTGTGTGTGTGTGTGTGTGTGTGTGTGTGTGTGTGTGTGTGTGTGTGTGTGTGTGTAAATATGCAAAATCCAAACAAAAATAAAATAAAATAAAAAATATTCGTTGGTACAATAAATACTGCGTGTAAAAAGTCTAAATCGAGTTTTCTGACCATTTATCCGAATATACGGGAAATTCACCCGACTACGGCCACGAAGTCTGGCGCTAACAAGCCTTGTTTACGTTTGTTCCGCTCCTGCCGCCACCGCTTCCCGCCAATTGGATCAGCTGTTTTACTGAACGTTATTTCCCGACAATTTTATCAGCTGCACGTTGTTTCCCGCCAGTTTTATCAGTTGCACGTTGTTTCCCGCCAGTTTTATCAGTTGCACGTTGTTTCCCGCCAGTTTTATCAGTTGCACGTTGTTTCCCGCCAGTTTTATCAGCTGCACGTTGTTTCCCGCCAGTTTTATCAGTTGCACGTTGTTTCCCGCCAGTTTTATCACGTTGCACGTTGCACGTTTCCCGCCAGTTTTATCAGCTGCACGTTGCACAGCTGCGCGTGTTTCCCGCCAGTTTTATCAGCTGCACGTTGTTTCCCGCCAGTTTTATCAGTTGCACGTGCACGTTGTTTCCCGCCAGTTTTATCAGCTGCGCGTTGTTTCCCGCCAGTTTTATCAGTTGCACGTTGTTTCCCGCCAGTTTTATCAGTTGCACGTTGTTTCCCGCCAGTTTTATCAGCTGCACGTTGTTTCCCGCCAGTTTTATCAGCTGCACGTTGTTTCCCGACAATTATATCAGCTGCACGTTGTTTCCCGCTAGTTTTATCAGTTGCACGTTGTTTCCCGCCAGTTTTATCAGCTGCACGTTGTTTCCCGACAATTATATCAGCTGCACGTTGTTTCCCGCTAGTTTTATCAGTTGCACGTTGTTTCCCGCCAGTTTTATCAGCTGCACGTTGTTTTATATCAGCTGCACGTTGTTTCCCGCCAGTTTTAGTTTTATCAGTTGCACGTTGTTTCCCGCCAGTTTTATCAGCTGCACGTTGTTTCCCGTTGTTTCCCGCTAGTTTTATCAGCTGCACGTTGTTTCCCGCTAGTTTTATCAGTTGTTTCCCGCCAGTGCACGTTGTTTCCCGCCAGTTTTATCAGCTGCACGTTGTTTCCCGCCAGTTTTATCAGCTGCACGTTGTTTCCCGCCAGTTTTATCAGCTTTGTTTCCCGACAATTATATCAGCTGTTTCCCGCTAGTTTTATCAGTTGCACGTTGTTTCCCGCCAGTTTTATCAGTTTGTTTCCCGCCAGTTTCCCGCCAGTTTTATCAGCTGCACGTTGTTTCCCGCCAGTTTTATCAGCTGCACGTTGTTTCCCGACAATTATATCAGCTGGATGTTATTTCCCGCCAGTTTTATCAGCTGCACGTTGTTTCCCGCTAGTTTTATCAGTTGCACGTTGTTTCCCGCCAGTTTTATCAGCTGCACGTTGTTTCCCGCCAGTTTTATCAGCTGCACGTTGTTTCCCGCCAGTTTTATCAGCTGCACGTTGTTTCCCGCCAGTTTTATCAGCTGCACGTTGTTTCAGTTTTATCAGCTGCACGTTGTTTCCCGACAATTATATCAGCTGCACGTTGTTTCCCGCCAGTTTTATCAGCTGCACGTTGTTTCCCGCCAGTTTTATCAGCTGCACGTTGTTTCCCGCCAGTTTTATCAGCTGCACGTTGTTTCCCGCCAGTTTTATCAGCTGCACGTTGTTTCCCGCCAGTTTTATCAGCTGCGCGTTGTTTCCCGCCAGTTTTATCAGCTGCGCGTTGTTTCCCGCCAGTTTTATCAGCTGCACGTTGTTTCCCGCCAGTTTTATCAGCTGAACGTTGTTTCCCGCTAATTGGATCAGCTGCTCTACTGAACGATATTTCTCGCCAACTGGAGGAGCTGTTTTATTGAACGTTATTTTCCGAAAATTGGATCAGCGGTTTTAATAAATATTTCCAAAGACTTGGAGGGATATTACCCATCACTAGGTTACTGAGCGCGCAATATTAAAAGAAATATTGATTTTCTTAATTGTTTAAGCGAGTTTCATAGCATCTGTTTTTTTTTTAGTGTCTAAAACAT